CTTCCGTTCCACAGGGCGTCACCGAACAGCGAGACCACGACTTGAGGCCCTTGGGGTTTGCAACAGCTGGACGAGCTGCTCCAGTAAAACGAAAAGTGGGAGATTCTCTTGAGACGCCCAGCTCAACTGATGAAAGCACTGAGAAGAGAGCGGCTGGCGCTGGCGGCCTCACGGCTGTAGCCCCAGTGGCCGGGGCGCAAGGCCTGAGTTCGGGCCGAGGCAGGCGGCGAGCGTGGAGGGGGCACACAGGCCAGGCGTCGCTGCAGACGGACAGGTGCTGCAATGTGGGTTTAGAGCGTCCACGTCTGGTGCAGTTGCGCGTAGATAAAGAGAAACTTTCCTCCAGTCCTCTTGAGATACGTAGGTACGGGACAGACACTCTAACCCCAGAGATGGCCGAAGGAAGTCAAGTAACATCTGGAACTAATACGCCGATAACTGTACTGAAGCCGGAATGCCCCCTGGGCTCTAAGCCCATTTTGTGGGTGCTGTTCCCCACACCCACTGTGCATAACACATGTAACTTCCCACCCCTCCCAGTTCCTTCCCACAGTCTCAAAACCTGGAACCGGCCCCTGCCACAGGCTTACCTGCCCTCACCTGCTGCCTCTCCACTCCCCACCCAGATTGTTTAAAAGCTGCGGTTTCATATTTCACAACTCTCCAGCGACACAAGCGGAGGACAGTGGGGCTTACTTTCCCCACAAGCCATTTATCCTCAGCGTGTTGGCCTCTGCCTACCTCGCTCCCTCTGGATCTTCCCTTGCCACCCAGGAGATTGTTCCAGTTTCTGAGACAGTCCTCCTGTCCGCAGCCTCATGTCACTGCTAGGTCAGAGCCTCGTTGCCACACAGAGAAGAGAGACTCCTGGTGCTTCTGCTGGAGTCAGGACAAGGGCCTGTGCAACCCCCCAAGGGGGCTTTTTAGTTCAAGCAAACAAGCAGACTCACAAGGCTACCGTGGGCCACGCTTGGCCTTGGACCCACTTTGGAGGACCGAGGACAGAGACGCAGCCTGCCACCGGAGCAGCGCCCGGCGCTTCTCCACAGGAGGGGTCCTTGTGACCTTCCGGAAGCTTTCCTCTTTGGTTGCCCAGGTGACAGCTCAGGAGACAGGACACGAGACTGTCCTTGGGTAGCTGTGAGGACTGCCCTCGCTTAGAAGCCTCAGGCTCCATCAACGCCAGTATCTCGTAGCAGCTCCATAGATGTCACTTCCAGGGTTCCTGCAGGGGACATGCCCAATGACGAGAGTCGCTGCACCCAGGGAAGCCCACATCATGACCTCACTACCGGGAGAAATATAGATTATTTGTCGTTCCCCCCGTTTAGACACCATTTGCTAATCAGGGGTCACCTTTGTTGCAAGCAGCGTTGCTTGGTAACATATTTCTCAGGTTTCCAGAGGGACTGAGCTGGAAAATTAAAAGTCAGATTCTCATGCACTGGGGAAGGGGGTTAACTCTTAATCCTGCTTTCCAGAGGACGGACTGTCTTGGGATACAAGTAATCTAGATAAATCACTGCCTGATGTTAAGTCTTGAAACACTGTGAGGAGTCATCCAACCTGCCCTTTGAGATTTTATAGTTTAAACAGTGAGCCCAGAAGAGGAAGTGGCTTCCTCGCAGGCACGTGATGGGTTCATTAAAGACGTGGGCCTGCACCCCGGGGCCCTGGGCCATGTCAAGGGTCTCCCTGCTCTCAAAAGCCTTGCTTTCAGCTCTAGTAGAGAGGGGGCACAGAGCCCTGAAGACATGTGTGGGTTCCTCCTTGTGGCCTGTGGCAGTCTCGCTTGGTGAAGGTGGGCGGGGGCAGTGACATCTCTCTGTCCCTGACAGTGGCAGCCGAGTGCCCTGACCAGAGCCCTGAGCTGCAGCCCTGGACCCCTGGCCATGACCGGGACCACCACGTGTACATCGGTCAGGGCAGAGCACTGCTGCTGACGTCATCTGCCACGGTCCACTCCATCCACATCTCAGAGGGAGGTAAGCCAGTCTCGCCCCCGATCCTTCTCTGCTAGAGCCTCGCAGGTGGGATGCAGGTTGCCATAACTCGAGATGGACAGACAAAAGGTCACATGCTTTGAGTTCATGTCAGAGCATCTGGTGTTTGAGATAACCGTTGGTCCTGAGTACTTAGGAACGGCTTGTCCGAGGTCCAGTCGTTGTGAAGAAGCACTTAGGGAGCAAAGTCCTTACTGGACAGAGCATTCCAGCCCGTCTGGCCTGCAGATGCTAGCTCAGTGAGTGCCGTGCGTGCAGCGATGGCAGTAAACCAAACAGGCGTTTACACGTTACGAAGCAGAGAGAAAAGAAAAGCACGCACGTGTGAGCACGGCATGCGCGGAAGTAGATGAGCAGTGTGTGTCTTGCCTCCCAGGACGAGAGGGGGGCTCGGGGCTCCTGCCCTTACCTCTGCTGTGGCCTCACCCCTGTCACTCACGTTCTCTCCCCATCCTCCTCTTCAGGAAAGCTCGTCATCAAAGACCAAGATGAGACCATTGTTTTGCGCACCCGGCACATCCTGATCGACAGCGGAGGAGAGTTGCATGCCGGGAGTGCCCTCTGCCCTTTTCAGGGCAATTTCAGCATCGTTTTGTATGGGAGGTGGGTGGACAGCTTCCAGTGGTCAAATGCTACTCTTAGATCTGACAGGAAGGAGGCTTTTAAAGCAGAGAGGTGGGCAAGACAGCAGGCTTTAGTGCAAGACGGAGTTGTCAGCATGTGCTGCCGGATCGTGATCGTGAACGAGACAGACGTCAGTGACGAGGGCGAGGCACGCCAGGCGTTCTGCTGTGGCCTGGGTCTGTACTTAGGTTATAGAAGTCTGCCAGCCTTTCAGCTGCCCCAGTCACGTCATGGCTCAGGGAGGCTCTGTGAGCGTTTATTTAATCGGTTACGATGGACAAAATAAAGAAACGTTCCATGCAGCGTTCGCCTCTGGCTGGGCTCCCTCATCGAGCAGTTGAGAGTTCTAAGAAGCGGTAGGCAAGAAGACGACGCAGGGGTAGGCAGTTCACGTCCAGGTGATTCCACGTGTGATACGGACCAGAATACCAGACACTTAGCACTGAAAAGAAGTGCCAGTGTGCAAGCACATGCGTGTGTCTGCTTGGCCTTCCGGCCTCGCCGGGGCCTGGCTCAGGGAGATCGGGTCATGACTGTTTCTCTCGAGCTTGTGCGATCATGAGTGTGGCTGGCTAGCTCTGTGGTGGCCGCAGCGGGAGCCGGGGGCAGTGCCGCAGGAGAGGCTGACTCGGAGGGCTGTCTTCTCTCGCAGGGCTGACGAGGGCGCTCAGCCGGACCCATACTTTGGCCTGAAGTACATCGGGGTTGGCAGAGGAGGCACCTTGGAGCTGCATGGACAGAAGAAGCTCTCTTGGACGTTTCTGAACAAGACGCTCCGCCCGGGTGGCATGGAGGAGGGAGGCTATTTTTTTGAAAGGAGCTGGGGCCACCGGGGCGTCATCGTTCACGTCATCGACCCCCAGTCAGGGACAGTCATCCATTCTGACAGGTAAGGCTCGTCTTCACTCGAACACACTCCTTCGTTCAGCACACGTTTGCTGAGCGTGTGTGCTCGGGGCCGAGCGGCGAGCGAGGCGGACAGAAACCTTGGCCTCGGGGAGCTATGTCTCTCCCTCCCTGGGCCTTTGCTGATGAAGCCGAGTTTAATGGGAATGAGCACACGCGCAGGCACACAAATGCAGGCCCCTGAGAAGGTTACCTGGAGCAGTGGGAACAGTGGTGGCTTCTCGAAGGAAGAGGAGGAGTGAGAGGAGGCGGGCGTGGGCGTGCGGTGTGGTCGCTGCCGCCAACTCCGGGAAGGGGCAGTGGGGACGGCGGGCCGGGCGGGTTGGACCAGGGGAGGCAAACACTCGAAAACAGCGACTCAGGAGCACCTGTCTCACTGACCACCCTGGGCCCCACTTTTTTTTTAAATTCTTGGCTAGTCACACTGGTTTATTTTTGTAGATTTCATCTTAGGACTATTTTGCTTGCTAAGTCACAAGACAAATTCTTTTGGAATTTCTATTGCAATTTTACAAAATCTTTATAGTTACGTAGAGGAGAGCTGTGATTATTGTGAAATTGTGTCTTTCCTTCGTAAATCGTCACCAGCGGTACAGATTTTTTTGAGATTGGTGATTCATGGCTATTTTATGTGTATGAGGGTGGGTTGTCTGTGTTGAGTTTGAGATGATCAGTGTTTGCTGCAATTAAAATGTCTTTAAACACCAGAGCCCTTGGGATCTCTGGGTAGCAAGCTGGTTGTTTCAACAACGACATGTGCTTTGCTTACTTTTTTGGCTGCCGTCAGGACTATTAAAATTCCTTCTCTTTGCCTTTTTTAGGTTTGACACCTACAGATATAAGAAAGAGAGTGAACGCCTGGCCCAGTATTTGAATGCGGTGCCCAACGGCAGAATCCTGTCTGTCGCCGTGAACGACGAAGGGTCCCGCAACCTGGACGACGTGGCCAGGAAGGCGATGACCAGGCTGGGCAGCAAACACTTCCTGCGCCTTGGATTCAGGTACCGCCCATCACCGCCACCTCCCCAGGCTCGGGGACACTGAGGCAGGTCAGCCCCTGAGAGGTCCCCTTGCCCCAGGGTCGCACCACCCTCGGTGACCGAGGGAGCTGCAGGCACCTTCTCCATCTGCGTGGGACAGATGGGCTTGTTCCTGCAGGGGACCTGGGATTTCTTACAAGCAGATCCACTCCTGAAATGCAGAAGTTCTCTCTTTGTATGAACCCATTCGTTCTGTCTGTCCCTTGCAAAATGTTAATTGAGCATCTACTGCGTGGAGGAGCCATGCCTCAGATGTACAGCTGATGTTTGCATTCTTTTTCTCTGGCAAAGGGATCACGGTGTGCCCTGGAGATCGGCAGATGCTTGTTGGGAGCTCGCATCAAGCATCCTTGGCCATCCCAATGTCCCAGGGGACGGGCACTTTGACGTCTTCCCCTGTGTTTTCTGTTTGACTTAGACGGCAGCATCATGCCCGGCTGGCGTGCACACACGTTGGCACCAAGAGGAAAGTGTTTGCCCCACCTTTTTATCATGTTGGGTCAGGTCTCAGCTCAGTGGCTGTTTGGAGATAGCAGTGTTCCCCCTGTCAGCTCTTCAGATTGCAGGCGAGACGGGGGCAGGCCGGAGCCGCATCTGGGCTCAGCAGAGCAGTCTTCCTGGCAGGGCAGACATCCCTTGGGCAAGGGAGGGGTGCTCCAGGTTTCAGAGTGCATTCCACAGCAGCCCAGAGGCTGCTTATTCTGGAAGGGCCTGTGCAGGAAGCTCGAGCGGCCAAAGGTGACAATGACACCTTGGTATCGCAGGGCTTCTTTGTCACGAGAAACCGAGGGTGTTTCCATATCGTTGTTTCATAAGCTGAAAGGTCAGTTTATTAATTTGCAACAAGAGGTTGAGCCACAGGGGATTGGCTACTTAGGGCCTCAGCAGAAGAAGGTAATGACTAAGGCCTTAAGACCCGGCATTAGATTTGGCATGAACTTGAGCTGAGGCTGCACCTCCTGTCAAGTGAGACTGCAAGCAGGTGACTCACCCTCTCTGCATAGTTCCTGTATCCACCATGGGAGATGTCGGGAGCCACCGTTAGGACCGTTGGGAGGGTCAAGTGTGGTAATAGAGCAAATGTTTGCTATGTGTCTGGTGCAGAGTGAGGACTCAATAAACGTTAGCAACTATTCCCTCCTTATAAACAAGAGCCTGCCTCGTTTTTTTCACGGCCATTCCCATGGATAAAGGAACTAGGTGGGCAGGAATTATATTTTTACCCTTTATTTGTATAGACCGACCTCGAATGACAAGTCAAAGCATCTAAAATCAATAGAAGATCTAAGACGTGGCCTCTTTACCTGTTCGTTCAGGAAGTGGTGGTTGAGCAGACATTGGCGTGGGGCTTTAGGCTAGAACAGGTGTGCTGAGCTCTCGCAGGGAGGGCGACGTCACAGGGCCAGGGTGACGAGGCCTCACACAGCGAGAGTGGGCCGAAGGCTGAAAGCGGGCTTTCATCAGACCCGCAGGGGACAATGAGGGCACGCCGATTCCCCATGACAGGCCTGCAGGTTCAGCATCCCCGGGGCGGATGTGTGGCTCTCGTGAAGATGTCGGGACGTACAGGCAGCAGCGGGGTGTGCGGGGGTGGGAGGGGACAGAGGCGAGGCTCTGCAGGAGGGCCTGTGCCTAGGAGCTTGGTTTTTGTCCAGGGGCCACTGGAGGATTTAAGTGAGAGAGTGACAGTCAAATTTCCAGCCTCAATAATGGACTTAGTTCCCAAGGTCAGAGATCAAAACAAAAATAATGCGAGCCGTTGAGGACCAAAACCCACAGTAGGAGAGAGGCTGTACTGGGCGCTGGCGGACAGGCAAGTGGGCGGAAGGCCTTCCTGCCCTGCAGCTGCGCACGCTCTACAACGTCCCAAATCGTGCTGCTTTTTCTCCTTCACTCCCCATTAAGAAGAGGAGGCATCTCTTTCCTTCCCTGGGAGGTCGGTCACCTCATCCTCTGGCGTTTTCCTCTAGGAGAGAGGAGTGACCTTCCCTCTTGGAATGAGCTTCCTTGTTTTCCTTGAAGAATCAGAGCCCTGGCTTCAGGACCTCACTGAGCCTGGGGGTGCAGGCAGGTCTGTGGGCTTGCTGATTTGCGGTTCATGCCTTGCCTAGCCAGGATGGAGTTGAGAGGCTCTCCGTGTGCAGACGTCAGGCGACAGGCGGGCAGGAAGCCCAGTGCTGGCAGAGAGGCTCTGTTCCTCTGGGCCAGGGCCACCCAGCCCCCGGGAGGCGGGCGGGGGAGGGGGGTTCAGCCACTTGACGCACGTCGCCTCCCCCTGCAGCACAGGTTCGGGCGTGTGAGGAACTCCGCTCTGTTGTTGTTTCTTTCAGACACCCGTGGAGTTTCCTAACTGTGAAGGGAAATCCCGCTTCTTCCGTGGAAGACCACACGGAGTACCATGGTAACGACGGGTTGCGGGAGGCCCGGTCCCCTCTCCCCAGAGTCTCTGACCAAGAGGCTCTTCCTGAGCTCCTCTTCCGTCAGCACGGCTGACCCACCTCCCAGCTCCTAGTGGCGTGCCTAGCCGCTTAATGGGCCATGTTACATCAAAGGGGAAAAGCCAACATGGGCTGAAGGTGCATCAGCCAGATAACATTGACATTTTCAGGAAATCATCAACCTTGTTAACCTAAAATAAAAGGCCTTTCGGAGTGACTGGCAGCAAACTTTAATTTGAGATCAATAAGAGTAGCTATTTGGAAATCATCGATTCAGTCAGAGGCCCAAATAGTGTCCCCATCGGGAGACAAGGGCAGGGTGTTTGTGAGGGGGACGGGGACAGTGCCATCCATAGAAGGAGGGCTCCGAGCTCGGTGCAGATGACGTCATGATGCCAGCACCAAGCAGCGTTGCTAATGCTCAGTCTAGCGGCCACCAGTCTGGTAGTCACGGATCTGCTTTCTTGTTGTCCTTGCAAACAGATCCCTGGGGCCCAGGGACTCAGGCCGCGTCCAGCGGTGACTTTGCCCTGTTTAGACGTTGCGGAGGTTCGAGGTGTAAGACCCACCGCCAGGCGGTTCCTCTGCGATGGCGCCTCCAGCTCCATTTTAAAGTGGCTCCGTTGAGTATTTCTCTTGTCAGCTTAGTCCAGAGCAGTCGACGTAGGCAGGATGGGAACCAGGACGGAGCCGGCAGGGGTACTTTGAGCTAAACAGACTCTTCAGATGGGCATTTCCCACGCAGCAGCAGCCTCCACTCCGGGGGACGTTTGGGGGTTCTGCGGGGGTTCTCGAGGGGAGGTCGCATGAGAAACGATGGTGGGAGCACGGCGACTCAGCCTCCAAAACCGAAGCACAGGGAGGGACAATGAGCTGCTTCCTAACTGGGAAGATCGGCCTGAAACTTTTTTGAAGAAACAGCTCAAGGTCCCTGTGGTGGGAGGGCCCTTGGAACCGCGCCGTGTGGACTGGGCTGTCCGCGGCTGACACTCTGTTCTCTGCCAGGTCACCGCGGCTCCGCCGCTGCCCGGGTGTCCAAAGTGTTCCGCTCAGAGCACGGCGAGCTCTTCAGCGTCTCCTCATCCAGTGAGTGGGTCCAAGGTGAGGCGCCGCGGACGGCCAGGGACACCTGGGGACACCTAACAGGCGACAGAAACCAGGACGCACTGCATTTGCAAGACAAGGACTGTTCTCTTGCCACTTACCTGTTGCAGAGTCAACTAAAGTTACAACTGAGATTTGTCTTTAGTTAATCAAGCTACCGGGGCCGTAGCCCAGAGGGATGTTTTCCTCACAGGATACCTCTTCTGTGGCACTGAGCAGGAGACACAGGCAGGACCAGGGCCCGCCTGCAGGGAGACCTCACGTGGGGACGGGGTGCAGAGGGCAGCAGTCGCGGGGCGATGGGCTTGCGGGTGGACTTCCCTTTTCTCCTTTTTGCAAAAGTGAAGGATAGCTATAGCTTCTATGAAGTAAGAAAGTCAGTAAGAGGTGTTTTTAATTAAGAGGTGGGAGAGTTGGCAGACTGTTCACGAGCCACCGGAGCCCCTGCCCCCTGCAGGCTGGACCGATGGCTCTCGAGGGTGTGTGGGGCTATGCTCAGCACAGCTTGCCCTCACGGGCCTTCCCGTCTGACCCTGCTCTTTGCTTTCTGCCTAGATGTGGAGTGGACAGACTGGTTCCACCATGACAAAGTGTCACACAGTAAAGGTGGGGAGAAAATTTCAGACCTCCGGGCAGCTCACCCAGGGAAAATCTGCAACCGTCCGCTTGATATACAGGTACCAACTCAAAACAGTTGCATCGTTATTAAGGCTTTATTTTGAGCAGACTCTAGATTTCAAACCCTCTCGCCGTCTGAGCAGTGTGACTCTCGTGGTCCTCTTAGGACACAGGTGAACCAGTGACGAGCATTCCCAGTTAGGGCCTGACGATCTGCCCCAGCCTCCCGGCTACTGAGTTCCAGGGCCAGGACTCAAGTTCTCTCCCGGGTCCTACTTCTGAGCTCCCTCCCCCGCGTTCCCTCTATCCGCAGCCATGGCTGAGAGTGCCCCACTCAGAGACGGGTTTGCCCTGCCCAGCCTCACTGCTGAGATGACTTCTTTTGGGATCTTGAGTGCACAGGGTCCGGCTGGCATTTGGGGTGCAGGCCGGGCTCGGCCCAGGTGGAGAACACACAGCCTGGTTCTTCAGTAGCTGAAGAAGAGCCGGTACTTGTAGGTGAGCAGTGTTTGCTCAGAACATGCTCTTGGAGTCACCATACGTAAAGGGGACTTGGACTGTCTTACACAGAGGTGACGGGTCAGTACGCAGCCCCCACAGTCCACCGGCTCAGCTCTGAGCTGTGAGCTGGAAAGACCAACACAGACCTTGTTCCAAAACAGAATCGAGCCACTTAAATGCCAAGTATAGAATTAGAAGTCATTTGAGAAAGACCTTCCTGCCCGTTTGATCCTCTTTTGGCCAGTAAAAATAGTGACCGACATCTGTCCAACACCTCCTCCCAGGTGATCTAACCGCAGGTCCCAGGTCATCCGACTGTGCTTTAACCCCACCGGTGGCATCACCCTGGGCAGAACTGCCCTCTGCCTCGCACTCTGGAGAGACCGTGGACAAGGTCCCATTTCCCCAGGCGGACACTGTCCCCGCACTCAGCGAAGGCCAAGGAGACCTTGCTCAGTATTTGGCCCAGCTGTCCCTTCATGCAGCTCCATGTTACTGAGAAGGACTTACCTGGATTAAGCTGCAAGGCGGAGACTTTTCTTGGGCCCTACAGAACCAAAAACCACTAACCCCCCCTCAAAGTGCATACCTCCCAGATTTAATTTTCTCTCGCAACCCTGAGCATTCCAGCTTCACGTTTCTGGAGTGTTTCTGAAATATTCATAATCTCATCCCTCCAGTTCACTTGGCTATGGGAAGTCCAGCCCCTTACCAGACTCCCCTCCCCAGGCAGTTCTGGAAATCCTCGGGGAATGCTCGCATGTCCTCCAAATGCCTCCTGGTGTTTGCTCTGCCAGCCGGCAGACCCCAGACCACTCTCGTTCCGAAGACCACTTACCACGCCAGGCGGACTGCTTTCCATAGGCATTTCTTGCGCTTCCGGTAACTTTGTTCTCAGCCTAGACGCCAGCTCTTCCCCGAGCGTGTGAAAGCACAGCTAATTCCAGGCTCGAACGTGAAACGAAACTTTACAAAGGCCCGGAGATGGGTATACGCTTTACCTCTTCAGCGCCACCTTAGAACTTGCAGCGCGGATGCCTCACGTTCCTGGCCGGAGAAATCAGTTCAGTTATGTGACTTAGTCTCTCAGTTTCCTCCCGTGCAAACATGGGGATCATAATTTTTCCCTCCTGTGATTTTGTGGTTTTAAAGCAATGATGCATGAAATGCCTGACCCATACTGAATGCCCCCAATTTTTTAAGATTATTTTATGATGATGATGATGATGATGATGATGATGATGGTAATGTTGCTAATTATTTTGTAATTATTAATCATTATGAATTAGAATTGTGTCCGTTTCACCGACCAGTGATAGAGTCCTGTGTATAATCCAAAACCGAGATTATTTTTTGGGGCAGAAAAAGGAAAAAAAAAGAAAAAGCAGCAAAATTAAGATGTTCCCTTAAAATTATAGTTGGACTTTGCACCTCGAAAAACGTTCAGCTCCATCTGATGACGTTGTCATCGCAGTTCTCCATTCTACGGGGTCCCCTACAGAAGAACACACGGCCTCGGGGAGTCAGGGCCTGACAATCGCGTGACCCCGGCCGCTGAGCCCCTCCAAGTGTCCACGCTCCCCTCCCAGAGCCCCTGCGAGAATGGGTGCGCGTGCGGCTCGTGGGAAAGGGCTGCGCTTCGGAGCGGCCGGACGCACATCTGCACGGCCCTCCTCTAAGCCAAAGGCTGCTGGGACCTACTGGTTGAGAGCAGTGTTTCCTCAAAAGCACCCCTCCTTTTAGGTCAACTGTCCCTTGCCCCCTACTTCTCCAGCCCTGGGGCCTTTGATCTCTGTGCCAAGGGGGGCAGCAGCTGCAGCCCTGGCTGTAAATTGCATGTCTGCGATGACAGCCACAGTCTTGATGCAGACACGCCCGGCGCTGGGACGCACCCCAGCTGGCAGGGATCCGCCCTCCTCTGAGCTCGCTGCCCAAATTCTCTACCTGGCCTCGAGGCTGCTCGCCAGTCAGCTCCCATCCACTGAGACTCCACTCTGTGCCAGACGCTGGGCTGATGCTGGGGTCGGGTCCTGGCCCTCCCCAGAGGCCAGGCTCCAGTGGCAGGAGACAGACAGGGAAGGAAGGGCAGTAGGTGGAGCCCCTGAGCGCGGCGCCGGGAGGGGCTGAGAAGCTCAGCTCTCTAGTCCAGTAAGTCTGGATTGATGTGCCGGCTTTGTGACCATGGGCAAGTTACTCAGCATCTCTGAGCGTCAGTTTCCTTATCTGTAAGACCAGCAAAGACCTCATAGTTTTGTCATAAAGAGGGGATGAGAATACACGTGGACACTCAGCTCTGTAGCTACAAGAGGGATTCTCGAACTTTCCTGCGCATTAGAGTCACCTGGGTAGCTTTTAAAGGTCCGACGCCCAGGCCACACCCAGACACGACCAGTCTGGACTCCAGGACGAGGCCGGGCACCGGATCCTGAGTGGCTCCCCGTGCTGCAGACCCTGCTCTGGCACCTGCAGTTGAATGCGGTGCTCAGTGTTCAGCACGCGTAGCCCGCGTTCGTGGTGCGGGTGGGGGTGCTACGAGCCATAAGTTCGAGTCCGGCCATCGGCACTGGGGGACCCCAGGCAAGGCACATGCCCGCCCGGCGACCTCGCGACGGAACCGGTGGGGGCCGTTGTGGCATACTAGTCTCAGGCCGTGGCACTTACGTTTTGCCACAGGAACAGTTTTAGACTTGCGAGTATGCACTTATAGCATTAATCATCACCTTCCTTCCGTACGAAAGAATGACTCCGCTCTGTAATTTCCATGCCATTCCCAGGCCACTACAGTGGACGGCGTTAACCTCACCACCGAGGTAGTCTACAAAAGGGGCCAGGATTATAGGTTCGTGTGCTACGACCAGGGCCACGCCTGCCAGAGCTACCGCGTGCGGTTCCTGTGTGGGAGGCCTGGTAAGCAGCTCTTTGTCAGGGACACAAGTGCCGCGGTGGCTCTGTCCCTTGAGCCGGCAGCGGCACGTTGTAAGTTTGGACGGCTGGGTCCGCTGCCTGCAAGCAGCTCAGCGGCACGGAGCTCCCGCCAGGCTCGCAGTAGAGAGCCCTGTGGCGGGCAGTGGGGGGGCCCCGGCAGTGGCGGGAGCAGGCAGAGCCCCACACTGCCCACTCACCTCTCAGGCCTGGTCAGAGAAAACCAGGGTGCAGTGGACGGAGTCCCCTTCCCGTGGCCCTCCTGGCAGAGACACGCAGCCCGTTGCCTCTTCGGGTGCTGGATTATGTTAAACCCAGATCCCAAGACACTCGTCAGGAGGGCTGGAAATGGCCAGTTGTCCACAGAGGCACTGGCCATCTCCCGAAGGCAGTCATTAGGGATGGGCGTTCTTCGGGGGGAGGCTTACCGCTACGGTAAATAACAGTTGAGAGGAGCTATATTTGTTTTTCGTCTTGAGCGAAGTGGATGTGGTGAGACAGCCGCAGTTAACTCCGGCTGAGGACTTGGTGGAAAATTCCCGTGCCCAGAGCTAGTAAATGGCCCTTTGCCGGCAGGGCTCTGTGGACTGCAGACACCTGTAGCAAGGCTGAAGTGGGGGAGCCTGGTGAAGGGGCCCGGACGGGCAACCCTGGCATTGACTGACTTAGGGACGGGGAGAGAAGAGGCGGACACTCTAAGTTGGCCAAGGGCTCACCTCAGCCCCTGCTGTTTTGGGTTTCAGTGAGGCCCAGACTCACCGTCACCATTGACACCAACGTCAACAGCACCATCCTGACACTGGAAGACAATGTGCAGTCATGGAAGCCCGGCGACACCCTGGTCGTTGCCAGCACCGACTACTCCATGTACCAGGCGGAGGAGTTCCAGGTGCTCCCCTGCAGAGCCTGTGCCTCCAACCAGGTCCGAGTAGCAGGTAGGACATCCACAAAGCCCGTCCTAGGCTGGCAGAACGCAAGTCGTTAGGCTTAAAGGTGGCTGGAATCACAGCCGACCTGTGTCAGTCCGTTCCTGCCGTAACAATGCTGCAGAGCAGAAGCCCTGCCACTCTCATAGCAGCAGTCATTTCTCACGCATGCATCTGCAGGCTGTCTGGGGCTCAGCTCCTGCAGACTAAATCTGGCTCCAGGCTGAGAGATGGGTTCAGGTCAGGTCTTTGTGGCTCACCTCCTCCCCAGGACAAGTTCTCTCATGGGGGAGGTTGAAAGCTCCCAGGGGCTGTGCAGAAACACAGGAGGACTCTGAAGGCCTGGGCTCAGGGCGTGCACGGGCTGCCACCCACACTCCTGTGCGTTCCATTGGCTAAGGCGTATCACATGGTCAGCGTGCGTGGGGTGGGAAGCCTGCTTCTCCCATCAGGATCGGGGAGGGAGTGAGTGTTCGCTAGGCAGTCTACCACGTAGCTGTAAATCTTTTCTTCCTAAGGCTTTTGGGTTTTCCTTTTTCTTCTCCTGAATCTTGACTTAGATGCCCTGTCACTGATGCTGTGCACAGTGACCGGCACTGCGGATTGTTAGAGGGAAAAAGAGACTTCAGGTGTAGTCGGGTCCTTACTCTCAGTGTAGAGAGTTAAGTATCCGTTAGGTTCTTAGTTTGACAGCAACAGAATGCAATGCGACTGTCTTAAGCAAAGAAGGAGCTCGTTGGGGGCTGGCTGCCCAAATGAGAGAGCTAAAGCAGACACCGGCCGGACGAGCCGGGAAAGGACCTGGGCAGCAGGAGCGGTGGGCAGGGACCTTACAGCGTCGCTGTCTGCAGGCACCAGGCTTGGTTCCTGGGACAGGGCTCAAAGGTCACCTTTGGGGAGAGAGCACTGGTTGGGCTGGTGGCTTGTGGCTCACGCTCTGGCCAGGAGGGGACAAGGCACCTTCGCTGACAGTCCCTGTAAGACTGCATCGAATGGAGAAAGGGTCACTCCCCGAAGGAAAACTGGCATGTGTTACTGGAGGGAGGGAGATGATGCCGGGCATTTGAAACCCCAGCCGTGCTGGAGAAGTATCGGACGTTGGAGTAGGGACGACTGTGAATGAGAAAGCGTATCCAGCGTTTCAAAGTACCGACAGTTTGGGAAGTGAGACTGTAGAAAGTCAAGCACAATCTTTTTGGCTGATGGGGATGTGCTTGAGAAAGAATTCGGGTGCCCGCTGCAGAAGAGGACCGGGGTGGTGGGGGCGGAGGGAAGGAGGATATCACAGGGGCACGCGGTTTTCTGGGGGGCAGTGGCCTGTCGGATTTCCCCAGCTAGGGAAGACCTTCCACACCTGTGTTCACAGTGAGTTCCCAACAAGTGCAAGGCCCTGGGGTCTTCACTGGATGGCTTCTGTGTCCCCAGGGACAATACATGTGGACAGGCCTTCTGGGACATGAGGTGTCCTGGGCCATGGCAGGAGTGGCGCTCAGACTGTCTCAGTGGATGTCACTGCTCACCGTGAGGTGACCCGTGGCTCCAGGGCAGCATTCATGGCCTCTGGGAGCGTGGCAAGTGCCCTGGGCCCTGGCCTGCCTGCCTGCCAGGGGAGGCACCTCGGGTCTGTTCAGACCAGGCCTCGTCTGCACCCAGTGTTGGGCGCCAACATCTGCAGGGGAGATTTCACTTTGAGCAGATCCTGGTGGGGCCGCTGTGGGCGCCAAGGGTGGCCCTCAGAATGCAGGACCCGTGTGAGGTCAGGGCACGACTGCCTTCCCAGCAGTGTGGTTTCGGGGTGAGTGCTGGAGAGCCGCGCCTCTTGGCAGTGCCCACAGCAGGTGCAGTTGCTTCTTGAGGCCTCCTAGGGCTGGGTGGAGGAGAGTGAGCTGGGCCACTCTGGAGCTGAGCACCGGGGGAGGGGTCCGTGCAGCACCGACTTCCCAGTCCTTAGGCTCGGAGTGGACCAGGAGTGGACCAGCCACTTTGCTCGCTCACAGCTTTGGGGCTCACGTGAAAACAGCTCCTCCTGGTGACCAGTGTCAGAAAAGCCCTAGATGTGTGTGTGTGTATGTGTGTCCGTGTGTGTGTCCGTCTGTCCGTGTCCTCCCCTGACCCCTGAGGGGCTCATATTTCTTGCGTTCAGCCCCAAGCCCTTTCTCTTGCTCTCCAGGCCACGCTGACGGGGAGCAAGGAGTCCACCTGCTCTGTTCTTTTCCAGAGCGAGGCGCCCCATCATCCCTTAGGGTTCTCCTTAGGGGGCTCCAGAGAGGGACGCCGCTTTCCTGGATCCTCCTTCCTCGCTGCCCCATTCCCGTAAACAGGCATTTTAAGGGTTTGCTGATGGGAAACAGATGGAGGTAACAAAGTCATGAAAATGTATGAATCATCTAAAAAAATATTTCAGAGTTTTGCCAACCACAATGTAATTCCCAACACCTCCTGACATGGCGATTAGAAACCTCTGCCATTTCTGCCCTGTTCGCATTCCGTCTTTCTGCTTTGCTTGGAACCACCCCCTCCCGCTTTTAAACAGCCCCGCCATTAGCGGGCGCTGACACTTTCTGCGTCCCCTGTGACGTGCCTGTGCTCACATAAGCCATCTCGCTCCCTCTCCATGGCAGCCGTGCAAGGTGGGGCTGTCATTTCCTCCGTGACGCGGACGAGGAAACCAAGGTTCATGGAAACTAACTGTCTGGACTCGTGCTGCCCAGTGCAGCAGCCACCAGCCACCAGCCACGTGTGGCCATCTAAATATAAGGAAAATGAAGCAATCATAAGTCGCGCTCCTCAGTCACACTAGCCAGATGTCTAGTGTGCGGTGGCCACACGTGGCTAATGGCTAGCATGTGGGACAGCACAGAACTGAGTGCTCCCAGAGTTCTGGTGGGGGTGCTGGTGCGGGCTGAGCGGGTCGGCTCCATCTGCTTGGTCTGCTTACGCTGGGCCAAGGTTTGGACTCAGAGCCGTCCGGCCCCAGAGCTGCATGTCCAGCCCTCCCCTCCCCCATGAAGGCTCGCCCCGCACGTCCTGCATGTCCCCTCAAGATGGCTGGGCTGCGGGAGGAAGCGGGCGCTCTGTGCTTCAGACTCGTGTGCCGGCTGATTCCCTCTGGGCCCGTCCTCAGGGTCTGAGAAGGGCAGTCTCCTCGCCAGTCGCTGGGCCCGGGTAGGTCTGAGCCACAGGGCCTGTGTGTTTCTCCCACTGGAGAGTCTGTGATGCTGCTACTTTGGGTGACTGCAGAGTGGCCAGTCCTGAGCCTGCCCTGCAGAGAGGGCTGGTTGGGGCCGGGCAGCTGCAGGAGAGCGCTGGGAGGGAGGGTCAGTGTTCGGAGCCCTGTGTGGGGGGACTGTGCCCAGCCCCTCGCCCATGCTCACGACCCTGCTGGGCTGTCGGGACAAATCTCGCTTGGCCACATCGTCTCCCCCTGCTTGGCCTTCAGTGTCAGAGCTGCCAGAAGGAAGTGCGGGGCGGAGGCTGGGTGGGAGGCCTCTGCAGACAGGACGGGATGCCGGAAACCAGGGCACAGGGCTTCCTGGGGCAGCAGCGGGAGTGGCCTGTGAGTGCCGCAGCAGGACGGACGAGCTGGCCGTGGGCGGCAGCGAGGGGCAGGGGTGGCGTGACCGGAATGCACTCGCGGCTCTGGTCTGACTTGCCTGCTCCCTGCTGCCTGATGAACGCAGTCCCTCCATCCATCTGGACGTCTCCCCCGCATGCCGGCCGGTTTCCCCCAGGGAACAAGGAAAGCTGTCAAAGCCGAGGTCGCTATAGGTGTGAAGCTCGTGGTGGGAGCCCTGGGTGCCAGCCCTCACGTGAGGACAGTGCCAGTGACAGCTGCGCGTGTCACTTCTCTTACGCTAGCCCTGTCATGTGCCGGGGCTGTCCTGAGCATATTCTGTAGATAGCTCATTGAACAGCCCTCTTGAGCTACGTGCCGTTATTGTCCGCATTTTCTGGGTGAAGAGCCTGAGGTTGGGGGAGCTTAAACAGCATTCAGGGACCTTGGCTACAGTCAGCAGGGGTCTGACCCAGGTCGCCAGGCTCCAGAGCCACAGTCCTCCTCACCCAGTGTCCTGGCTCTGCAGCCGCGTTTGAGACTGGTCCCCGAGAAGGGCCCTCTGGGTCAGTGTCCTACGTGAACATTGCATTTTAAGAGGGGCATTGATGAATCGAGAGACTCCCCCTAGCCCAAAATGCGCGTGGTGTGAGGGCCGTGGGAAGTCCGCGGCGTGTGGCCTGGTCTGGCTCTGCCGAGCGCTGCAAGCTCGCGGGGGTGCGGAGGCTCATGCCGAGGGTGGTCAGGGAGGCCTCCACGGAGAAGGAGCCATTGCAGCTGGATCTCGAAGGACAAAGGGATGCTTCGTGGACAAGGCAAAGACTGTCCCAGCCAGAGGGAGCAGCTTAGATAAAAACCCTGAGCCGTGAGCCAGCAGAGGCTGTTCAGGGAAGGGCGGGTGGCCGGGTCTGGCTGTCTCCTGAGCTGGAGGCCGTCCGCTAGCGACACTCCATTCGGAGGGGGACCTGCTGCTGAAACCTAGCGCTGTAAGACACTGACTACACGACCCAAGCAGAAGCCGCAGTGGGGCCCCGGGGGCGGGCCCCACGCTCGGCAGAGCTGACTTGTTTCCGGCTCTTGTCTCATCGGTGTCAGGACCGGGGTGGGACCACAGGCCCCACAGCGCCGCGTGGCATGCTCCCGGCCCCTTCCTCGGCATGGCGCAGACCTTCGGTGCCCGAGCTCTCGGGGTATCTCAGTTCCTTACAGTGAAGAGGCTCTCTGTACAGTTAATTTGTGTAATCCTGAGACATTTTTAAAGGACTATGGTAGGCTGAATAACGGCTCCCAAAGACGTCCACATCCTGATCCTCAGGACCTGTGAATATGGGACCTTGCTTGACAAAAGGGACTTTGCAGGTGTGGTTAGGCTAAGGCGGGCGAGTGGGAGAGGAGACTGTCCTGGATGATCGGGGTGGCCCCGTGGAACCACGAGCGTCCTTGTGAGAGGAAGGCAGGGAGGTCAGAGTCGGAAGAGAAAGTGACGTGAGGACAGGCGCAGGCCAGAGCGATGCTCACTGAGGGAGGAGGGGCCGCCAGCCAGGGGACGCAGGTGCCATCAGAACCTGAAAAAGGCCAGGACGGACCCCCCGAGGGCTCCCGGGGGACCCAGCCCTGCCAGCACCGCGACTGCTGACCCGTGAGGCTGATCTTGGATTTCTGACCTCCAGGACCATAAGAAAAAAGATGTCTGTTGTTCGAAGCCACTAAACTTGTGACAGTTCTCACAGCAGCCCTAGGAGGCTGATACTGGTTCCAAAGAGGACGTATTTTGGCCTTGCCGTGAGCCACTTTCACGTCTTGAACTATCATGCTTCAGAGAAAGCGCAGCTGAGTCTGCAGAATCCTGACACCATCACCATCCCTGGAAATACTGCGGGCCCACCGCAGGGCGCAGGCTGGGTGACGGGCGGGAAGGGGAGCCAGCTCTTCCTGGGGAGAGAGCAGGGCGGGGTCTCTGCCAGTGGGTGCGGCGCCCGGCCCCTTGTGACCACGGCCCTTTGCATGTGGGCACCGCGGTGTCACGGAGCCGGGTGAGGTGTGCTCTGTTGCTCAAGTCAGGGTCACAGTGATGCCAAGTGGTGTTTGTGGCGTGGCTCAGGCTTGAGGACACACGCGAGGTGGCTGCTGTCTGAAACGCCGGCCTCGACTGGAAGGGCGAGTGCCCAGCAGCCAGGTCCACAGCCACGGCCTCTTTACTCCAGAAGAGGGTTTGCGGTTGCTCTGGAGGCAGAACTTGGGGCCGAAACTCAAAGACTGCTCCAAAGTCCCAAACTCGTCGGCCTGGGGGGTGGCGGGGCAGGGTGGGGGCGGCGGCACAGGGGTAGCACAGGGAGAGAGCAGCCTCTCCCGCGGCCAGGGGGACGGAGGGCGAGTGTGGTGAGGTCCACACAGGGTGGGCTGCAGGCTCTCGTCCGCCGTTCCTGGTGGTGCCAAGGAGGTGCCCGGAGCCCACCACGTGCTGGACGCAGGCCTGGCTGTGGCCGGGAAACCCAGCCGTGGAGGCCGAGGGAAGCAGAGCATCGCTTGGGGTTCGCACGGCTCACGGGAGTGGCTTTGGAGAGGGGCTTGTTTTAGGTCTGGTGGGCAGTCCAGGGCGCAAGCTCCGTGGGGCCATCAGAGACCAGGTGTCCTCTCTCCTCGCGCTGCCGTCTCTGGGGCATGGTTCGCAGCCCCTGGGCGAGACTGGCCCACCCACAGATGTCCACGTGCCAGCCCCGGGGACAGAGCCAGAGCAGGGGCCACCTGTGGGTGCACATGTCAGCTCTGCGCATCCCGTGACCACACTGACCACGGGCCTGAGACACGTGGCTCTCCTGGGGAAGCATCTATCTCACTAAACCCCGGAGAGTCTCGTCCTGGGAAGCAGAGGAGGGGAGAGAAGCTGGGGGACAAACCGCTATCTTCCCTCGGGCTTCGGACCTAAGCGCACGTGGCCGTGCGTCCTGGGTCCTCACCCAGAGTCGGAACGCCACCTCCCCGGGCTTCGTCCTTCTAGGAAGTGGGACTGGCCCCGGGACCCCCGTGCGCGTCGGTCATGGAGGCCCAGGCAGAGCCCCCGGGCCCAGTGGGACACGCGGCCCCTCATCAACTCCCGTCTCCCTTCCCGGCCCAGGGAAACCGATGTACCTGCACATGGGCGAGGAGGTCGACGGCGTGGACATGCGGGCCGAGGTCGGGCTCCTCAGCCGCAATCTTGTGGTCATGGGGGAGATGGAGGACGCGTGCTACCCCTACACCAAGCACGTCTGCAGCTTCTTTGACTTCGATACGTTTGGGGGCCACATCAAGGTATGGGTCTGCTTGCCCGAGGCCCACGGTGCCAGCCTGTGGGCGGGATTCTCGGTAGGGAAGGGGACAGAGGGCAGGAGCGGGGAGAGGAATCTCATGCATTGTTCGCTGGCGTGCCGTCACACCTGTCAGGGCTTGGGAGCAGGCGGTGAAGCCAGCAAGGGGACGTCTTCCTACTCCCCGGTCACACGGCACATGTCACGCTCACCTCCGCCCCAGTAATGGCTGTCATTCCAGCCTTCCTTACTTAACCCCGATCCCCGCCTGAAAGAACTTGTGTTTAACACACAGTGAGCCGTGGGGACAGGAGAGCCATAGGAAAGATAAGTGATGAGCAGTGCAGAGAAGTAGCACCTCCAGCAGAAGATTCCCCTGGAAGCTTCCCAGTGAAGTCAGGGCCGTGACGGGGACACTGAGCTGCAGGGTTCGTGCAGTCGAGAAGGTGACATCAGTCACCAGAGCTCATGTTTTCCTGGCCTTAAGCTCTGAGAGGGATTTTCTCTGCCTCTCTCTGTAAAGTGCCTTCCCTGTCATAGTGATGAGCCTAAGATGCCCCAAGTTCTGCGTGTGGCCATTGCTTTCAGTGATGGGAGTGAAGCTGGTAGAATAGTGGTATCTTGGAGTTTTGTGAGGATAATTCTCTTTAAGCTAAAACTATGTGCTTTAAGGATTAGATTTTTTGGTAAATAACTGAAAAAAACGATAGAGTGGAACATAAGAGTTTGTAGTAGGGACCCTACTGGCATTTTAAGTGAGACAGTTTTCTACGGGATTTTTAGCATCCCCAGGTCTCTGCTCACTCGATACTAACAGTGCTCTCCAGTCACGTAACCACCCCAAAACACGACTGCGTATTTCCGACGTCGTCGTGACGCTCGGTGGCTTAGGAGGCAGGAGAATCGGGGGCGGGGGGCGGGCACGGAGCTCTGGCTGCTGTCCGGCCCCCTGCACCCCCCTTTCCAGTAGCTCATCATCTTGCCTCACCCTTGGTTACGAGTAGCACCCTATCTCCCTTGGGGTAGAGGGCCAGGCGTCTAAGCGTTGGCGGGGGACACCTTCGATGACTGGGTGCCCGAGGCACCTGGAGGATTGCACAGGGGTGTTTTCGGAGCGTGAGGACCCACGGTGGGGGTCGGCGAGGACTCCCCAGCTCCTCTGACTCTCGGCTCTCCTCCCCCAGTTTGCACTGGGGTTCACAGCGGCGCATCTGGAGGGCGTGGAGCTGAAGCACATGGGGCAGCAGCTGGTGGGCCAGTACCCGGTCCACTTCCACCTGGCTGGGGACGTGGATGAGCAGGGCGGCTACGACCCACCCACGTACGTCAGGGACCTCTCCATCCACCACACCTTCTCACGCTGCGTCACCGTCCATGGCTCCAACGGCTTGCTGGTAAGTGCCCTCCCCCCGGGGAAGCAGAGGACCCGAGGTGCCCTCGTCCCTGCCTGCCGTGCCGGCCAGCTCTCCACCGCGCCCAGGGCCGCTGGGCTGGAAGGCCATTGTAACCTGGTCACTTAGTCCACGGCCACTGGGGGTTGAACCATCCTTAGCTCAGACTTTAGAATGATCTCCGCCGACAGCACGCTCTGAACCAAAGAGGAAGGAGAAAATGGGGTGTCTCCTTGCCAAAGGGCACCCAGATGCAGAGTTCGTGGTGGTCACTGGGGGTCCAGGTCCTGCTGCGCCTCCTTAGAGTGATGGGAAATCGGGGGTCGTTCCGTGACCGTGTGGCGTGACCGGTCTGCTGGCCGCAGACAAAGGGGACCGCACCAGCACTCTGCTGTGGCCTCTGCGCGGCAGACCCGAGTAGCTTCTGCAGCGGACACTTCTGTCCAGCCGAGCGTCCTGCGCAGGTGCTGCGGGGCGGGATGTCTCCATCAGCACAATGGCGCATGCGCCGTAGGCTTGCCTTCATTTGCACAGATAATTTCCACACTAAATCGATCCTTCTCTGACTGAACTAGACTGCACCCTCTATGAACTTTTCCCATCGCACATTACAAGATGGCGCTCTGCAAGCTGACTCCAGCTTGTGTTTGGTTTGGCTTATACAGCGTTTAGAGAAATGTTTGATCGTTTTTACACTAAACTGATAATTTTACACCAAATTGAATGTCCTTTAAATGGACTAAACTTATGTTCTCTGTGAACTTTAAAACCGGATGTCACAAAATGATGCCCTGCCAGCTGACTCCAGTGAGCAGATGTGTTTCGTTTGGCTTAAATGGCGTTTAAAGAAACATTTGAATTTGTTTCCATCATTTAAAAATTAAGAGACTTCACATAAAAATCTGGATTCTGGGCTTCTCTTGAAAAGAGGGCGGAGTTGGCAGCACCAGACCACATTCCTGCCTGGCAACTGGGGACCGGGACAGGGTCGCAGCTGCCCACTAGACCCAGCCTGTGTGGACACCGGCCGCGCCCACCCCTTCCTAGTTCATTTCAGTAAATGCCCCCAGCCGGCGCCCCGGAGGGCATTTGCAACTCTTGCTTTAACCCTTTCCCGTTTAGAAAAAGGTGCAGCTCTCTGCCAGTGTCTGGTCTGGCACTTAGCTGAGTGGATGGGAGGCGGGGCGTTGTAGACGTTCCCGCTCAGCATGGCCATCACGCTCAGGATACGTGGTGGGAAGGAAGCGTAGAACTGGTTAAGAAAGGCTGACTCCCAGGAGCTTTACTTGTCTTAAGCGTTTATTCTAAAGTATTGTTCTTACTTCAGCTTAAATCCACCTATGTTTAACTCCACTGAAGAGAAGGGTTAAGATTTCTGGAGGGCTGGAGCTCCCGGTCTGCGTCGGTGTGAGTGGCAGCTGCTGTGAACCTCAGGGCGATCACAGGCGCACACCGCACACGCAGTGTGGACACCGGCTGCGCTTTCCCGCCCGCCGGCTGTGCGGCCTCAGGCAGCTCATTCATCAGTTCGTCTTCAGTCCCTCCTATGTGCTGTGGAGGCCGTGACCAGCACGTCTCACAGTAGTTTGGTGAGAAAGTGCGTGTGCCGCATTTTTGGCCGTCTCTGTGATAACAGCAAACCTCAGAGCAGGTAGCCTGGGTCTCAGCAGCGGGGCTAACCGCAGAGGGGACACGGGGCAAGAAGCACTGAAGCCGGACGAGAGACGTGCTGTTCCCAGGACACCCCGCATTGGGACAGCACTGAGAGATCTCAGCAGGGGTGCAGGCCGGGGAGAGGCTGGCAGAGGCAGCACAGGCTAGGAGTCTGAGTCAGGGCCCCCTCTGTCCTGCACCCCCAGGCCTTCCTCCTCTCTGGCTTCAAGGGGTGCTGGCCGCCAGACAGGGAGGGAGCGTCCGTCAGCCCTGGGTGTCATCCGGGTGCCAGCCCCCGTACGTGTATGGCAGGGAGGCCGGCGTCCTGTGCTCCAGCCTCAGATCTCTGGGAACCGTGGGAGAGGCTTCTGCTTCTCCTGCTTTCTCCTTTTCCTAGTTTCTTGAATTCACAGTCTCCCTCGCTGGCTTCTTGATTCATACCAGTGCTTCATGTGTTTTCCCCACATGACCTTGGATGAGGGACCCAGACTCTTGTCCTTGATTCCCCAAATGTCCCCTGGCCAGCGCTTCCATGGGCAGATTGGGGCAAGAGATAGGAGGAGGCTGGGGGCCATTACCGGTCAGCACCGGAATCACCTGGAAATGGGGTCGCAGACCCCCCTTCCTTCCTCCCCTAAACCTGCTCCTCCCCCACCCTCCTGGGCTGCCTCAGGAGCTCACTCTTCTCCTTATTAGGCAGGGAGTGGTTTGGCTCTGCTTTCCTTCCCAGCTTCTGTGCATGTTCACTTATTAAGACACTGCAAAAATCAATAACCACCTACTGCAGGCTTTTCAGCATCTCAAAAAAAAAAAAAAAAAATGGTAGAAGCTCAGAAATTACAGCTTTCCTTTTAACATGTCTGTTGTCAAGTTTCTCCCTGATGTGAATTACATCTTACCCACCCGGCAGGCAGAAACAGGTATAGTTCATTTCTCTTTGCGTTTGTCTTAAACAGCAGGTTTTTTTCTTGCTGTATCCAGGTTGTTGGTGGAAGTCGTGCAGCTGGGGTGACGCTGTGTTCCGATTTGCACAGGACACTTCCACTTTGTACCCGCTGTCCCAGCCCAATTACTAAGCACACCCCCTTTACTCTCACAAATGCGCTGGTTCATATGACAAACTAAACCGTCACTAACTGCAGGAGTCCCTGAGAGCCAAGGAATTTCTCTCTCACAGTCTCCCGTGGAGACAACAACAGCTGAAGACTTGAAACAGGTTTCAGGAATCGCTTTCATGACTGCCAGCCCCCGACAGGGAAGATGACCAGGAGAAGAAAGGGAAAAATACGGTTTGTGTGAGAAAATGGCAGAGATCTTACACGTGGGGACTTGGTGGCCACGCATAGGGACTTGGTGGCCACCTACGTGTCTGTATGTATGTGTCTGTTTATCCAGTGTCTGTCTGTCTGCCTGCCTACCTGCCTACCTGCCTACTTACCTACTTACCTACCTGTAGATGTGTCACAGTTTAAGTGCTCAGTTATGGAAAAGGTTCTAAGGAAGAACCGAGGTAGAATGCTAGAGCTGGCAGGGACTTTAGAGGTCACCCTAAGGCACCAGGACACTTAGACCAGTCACACAGCAAGTCTGCGGCTGAGCCACGACGTGGCCTCGTCTGCGGCCGCCCAGCCGGGGCTGTCCTCCGCGTCGTCGTGCTTCTCTCTGGCCCAGGCGGGGCTCTCCCCGCCACCTTCCCCGCAGGGTCAGTGGGCGACCACCCGCTCCTGATGAAAGGGTTTGGTTTGGTTTTTTTCCTGGTGCTGCTGAGAATTGATCAGTTATAAGTCACAGATCAAGACAGGTGAAGAATCAAGTCTTAATTCTGTCTTTGCACGGGGAGTGACTTTGGGTAACTTCCCAAGTCTCAGTGTCATCTGTGAAAAGGGAATAACAGTTATGATAAGGATCGAATGCGATGACGTCTGCAAGACATTTGACCCCTAATGGACGGAGTTGTTTGTGTTCCCTTCCGTGAGGACTTTCCTCCATAGCAGTCTCAAGGGGCCCGGAGGGAATTTCTCTCTCGGGCCCTTGTTAGAACGATACTATACCTAATTCATCATCCACTTGCATTCACGGAGGGCTACCCAGCGTGTGACGGGGACAGCGGGCAGTGGGAGCAGAGGATTTAGAAAGAGCCATGGGCAGCAGGCGATGTGTGCCGTCAGACACTCCACGTCCCTCCTCTGGGCGTTAGGAAAGTCACTGAGCTTGCTCTCAGGTGCCCGGGCCAGCTCGAGCAGCCACTTCCTTGCCTCTCCTTCCCATGCTGGTCTTTCTAGGTCATTTATAACACACTTGCCTAGCCTGCTAGGAGAAAAGGAAGCAGTCCCATTGTATGACCTTGGCATTGACTGCAACGCTTATGCAGGGACTGAACGGCCGTCAAGATGGTGCCCTCGCGCAGTTCCAGAGACCGAGGGAGGTGCTTGCCTGAGAGCACGGAGAGCCTGCCCGGAGCGAGGACCCGCCCTCTGCGGTGCATGGCCTTAGAGAACTTGGGTCTTGGCTCACGCGCATGGATTGTGTCACCTTGAGCAAATCACTTAACTTCTGAGTCTCATTTTTCTCATCTCTAAAAAACATTGTTATCGGATCGTGTAAGATTTAAGCAAGATTAACGGGTAGACGAGCCCAGCCCAGTGCTGGGATGTGAAGGGTCCTGGTTGTGGGCACTTCCAGGGCATGGCTGCCTGGCGGTCGGGGAGCAGGCAGGCTTTGTCACATCAAAGAGTGGAAGCACTTGGGGCATTTACCCTTGGTGAGTGTTTCCCGATCAGGGACAGTCTTGTCACCCCCTTCCCAGGGAATATTTGGCAGCGAGTGCCTAGAGCCTTTTTGTTGTCACAGCTGGGGTTCTGCAGGCTGCTTGTGGCAGGGCCGGGCGCTGCTCAGCCTCCTGCCCGTGTAGGATGCCGCCCGGAAAGGTTAGCCGGCCGAAGGGAAGTAGTCATGCGATGGTGCGAAGATGTGCCATGGCCTGGCACCGTGGTAGGGACGCACTAGGTGTGGGGTGGACACGTGTCGTAGGGAGCAGGCACAAACCTTGTTGGGTGATATCCTCGGGCAGTCAGGACCCAGGGGTGGGGACGAGGACAGGAGGTGTCAGTCAAGATAAGTGAAGTGCTTCTTGCCATCTTCCTGTCCCTACGTGGATAGGCCACCCCATGAGGCAGTGAGCGTCTCACTCTGGGTGTTCAAGCCATTTGTCAGGGATGCTCGAGCCCTGGCCGGGGGCGTAGGGCTCAGGCTGGAGGCCCTCAGAGGCCCTTTCTGTTCTGAGATCAATGAGTTTAACCAAGGTCAGGCGGGTTCAAACCCAGCAGGGGCCTCAGAGATCATGGAGTCTGAGCCCGTCCTTTTCCAGTGGGGAAGTGAATTGCAGGGCGGCCGGGAGACTTGCTCAGATCCCCACGAGGCTGGACGCATGGCTAAGACCGGGTCGCCGCTCTCGGTGCCTTCAGCAGCCTCGCTGCGTCCCCCACCCACTGACGCTCTGGTTCCAGGAAGGAGGCCGAAGAGCTAGAACGTGCAGCCTTTTCTGGTTCCTGGCCCAGGCGTTGCAAGTGCAGCTCTGTGCGCACTGTGGGCCACGAAGCTGGCTTGGCTTCGCGGGTGAGGGCGTGACGAGGGACATGGCCACAGTCTCGCTGCAAAGCCCACCGGCCCAGCCGGGGCTCTCCCCACCACCTTCCCAGCGGGGTCAGTGTGTGGCCACCCACATCAAGTCCAGGAAGCAGTGACCTCGCTGTGTCCTCACCAGAGTAGGCTCACGTGACTTAGTCCACGGTCCCCTACTGAGCCCTTGTGTCGCTTTCCCACACCACAGAGCCTCGGCCCTGACATCTCCAGCAGGAAGAGACATGAAAGTCACTGCCCTCCCCAGGCCCGACACCTGTGTCAGGTCCAAACCCCCAGCACTTTTCACAGGGCCTGCCGTACAGCTGATGCTGTTTAACGTTTGTTGATCGAATGAATGAGCACATGAATAACGACACTGGGCGAACGTTCCCCTGTCTTGACCCCTACAGATCAAGGATGTCGTGGGCTATAACTCTTTGGGCCACTGCTTCTTCACGGAGGATGGGCCAGAGGAACGCAACACCTTTGACCACTGTCTTGGCCTCCTTGTCAAGTCTGGGACCCTCCTGCCCTCTGACCGTGACAGCAAGATGTGCAGGACGATCACAGAAGATGCGTACCCGGGGTACATCCCCAAGCCCAGGCAGGACTGCAAGTAAGCGCCCGCCGTCCGCGCCTGCTCCGGCCTCGGTGGGCGTGTGCACACCTGACCGCGCTGGGTCTGACCCCCACGCCCCAGGGCTGCTGAGCCGCCTGCTGCCCCCAGCTCCCTATACGGGGCTGCTCTCCCTCCTCCCTGAGTTCTCAGTGGCCCCGTGTGCACCGTCTTGTCTGAGGGAACCCCGGTTCTCCTCAGCTTTTCCTGATGTCACACGTGCTCTGGGAGGGGGCGGACTGCCACCTTGCTCCCGGCGTGCACACGTAAGCACAGCCACGCCGGTCGGTGTCTAGACGAGAGAGACGGGCAATGTGCTCCACCGTGTGTGTCAGGGCCTGCCCCCTAGGAACGGCCACTGTCCTGGGTTCTTCCGAGCCAGTCTCAGACTTCAGCCACAAACGGCTTCCACGTCGAGGAGCCGTGCCCGCTCCCAGCCCTGACCCCTCCATACGCTGCAGGGAAAGCCGGGTTTCAGCTAGCAGGTCGGGGTGTCTCAGTCTCGGATACGAGGCCCTTCGGCGTGATATCGGGGTGCCTGGTTTGGCCCCGTGCTGCAGCACGGAGCCAGGGGCCCTCTACGTGACGCCTTTTAATCTCCCCCACAGTGCTGTGTCCACTTTTTGGATGGCCAACCCCAACAACAACCTCGTCAACTGTGCCGCCGCGGGGTCCGAGGTGAGCAGAAACACCTCCTCTTTGGGGGAAAGTAGGGGTGAGAGCCAGGGATCAGAGGTGTCCAGGGCCAGCCCTGAAATGCGTGTGCTGTGAGCCCCAGGCCAGGCTTAGGATGAGGAGGGAAAAAGCCAGATTGGGAGTCAGATGGATTGGTTTTCAGTGACGGCTGCCACCTCATCTCACTGGCGGTCATAGCTAACAAGAATGAAGCGGTTTATGCGTCTGACTCATCATTAGATTGCAATGACTGTCACTTAGAACAGTGTCTGGCACGTACATCTTCAAGCTGAAATAATGTAGTCCCCACGTCAGCCCGATGAGGCGGGCACGGTGGCCGACCATCTGATGTGTGAGCACGCCCACGGGCATGCGCAGGGTGGGGACGCGGCGCCCTGTCTCCATGGCCTTGCCGTCCCCCAGGCCCCTGCTACTCACCCTGTGGGACCCTGTGCAGGTCAGGTGCTGTGCCGTCTCTGCAGAACCAGAGAGGTGCGGAGGATGCTCACGAAGCTCTCCCGTTACGTGTCGGGATAGGACGCTGAAATCCAGCTGCAGAGAGCCCGTCCCTGACAGAGATGGACCCAGTGAGGGGTTTTAACAGTCAGGGTGGACCCCACAAACTGCGTTTGCCTCAAACTTCCCTCTGTTTTGGGAGGTGTGTCGGAGGCTGGGTGTTGGGGGCCCGTGGCGGGGAGACCGCTGGACCCCCATCCCGGTCGGGGCCGTCCGGACACCCGACGAGAGGCTGGCTGGTGCTCAGGCCTGTGGCTTCCCCTTGTGCCCCAACAGGAAACCGGGTTTTGGTTCATTTTCCACCACGTGCCGACGGGCCCGTCGGTGGGGATGTACTCCCCGGGTTACTCGGAGCACATCCCCCTGGGGAAATTCCACAACAACCGAGCGCATTCCAACTACCGGGTAAGTCTGTCTGGACCCCCAGCTGGGACAGCACCGAGGCCGACTCACGGGAACGGGACTGGGGGCGAGGCTGAGAGCAGAGACGCGGCTGGTGTCAGGGCGGGTGCCGACGAGGACAGTGGCGCCCCAGAGGGGGACGGACACATTCAAGGTCAAATACGAAAACGACAGGCTCAGCCAGGGAGTAGACCAAAAAGAAGAGAGACGTTCTCCGAATAGACGTGCGCTTACAACTGGGGGCGGCCCGGGAGGACAGCCGGGCAGGGCGGGCGGCGTCACGTCCCAGAAGCTAAGGAAGAAGAGAGTTTCGGGGGGCAGGGAGCAGAGGCGAGGAGGGGCGTTTCTGGGGCTGCGGCGGGGCCCGGGGAGCTGTCACCGTACAGAGCAGGCCGCGCAGCGGCGGGGGAGCACGTGTGGGCTGACTGACCGTCAGACCCCTCCGCGGGAGCCTTCTCACGGCGGCGGGGGGCCGCGGGGTGCCTGGAGGCTCGGAGCACAGAGCACGGAGCGGGGGAGCGCGTGGAGGGAGCCTTCTCACGGCGGCGGGGGGCCACGGGGTGCCTGGAGGCTCGGAGAGCACGGAGCGGGGAGCGTGTGGAGGGGGTGGGTTCCCACGCGGAAGCAGGCGCGGGCTCACGGGCACAGGGGAGCGCGGACGCGAGGAGGGGGGTCGGTGGGAAACGGGGGACGAGGAGCCTCGAGCTGGGTGGATTCGATGTCCGAGCAAAAGGGGCGCCGTGCGTGGTACTCGCTGTGTGGCTGCTGTCCCCGGACTCTCGGCCTGGGCCGTCCTAGCTCGTCCTCAGCCACCTGCCAAATCGGCTACAACCGAGGCCTGAGCGGTGATATGGCTTACCCAGTGGCGCGGTGGCCAGTGACCTCCAATGAGCCGAAGGAGAGGAACCCGAGTCTGGGCGTTCCTACGAGGCCAGGGAAGCCGGGAAGGGGGGCACGGCCTCACTGGGCGGCAGCATTCAGCCGCCCTGACTGCCACTCGCCCCGGCTCACAGAGAGGACATCTTCACGGCCAAATAAGAAAGTGAGCTTCTCTCCTTGAGCCAGGCAGGATCCATGACGAGACCCTGGCCGGGCCGCAGACCCTGCCCCAAAGTAAAGGCCAGGCTGAAGCTCGGCAGTGCCTTGAGTCACTGCAGACACTTTTTCCAAGGAGGCATAACCTCGTCCTTGACTTGGGTCCTGGGCTCGTAACTGCCTGAAGTGGCGTGCGCTCTGGGCACAGATGTGGCTATGTGGCCTTGGGCAGGCCCGGGACCTCAGTTTTCTCATCTGTTCCTCAAAGAGGACACCTGGCTCCGGACGTGACCCGAGCAGTGCCGAGCAAAGCCGGTCCTTCCCTTCCGTCACTGTGGGCCCAACCTCATTCATGCGCCGAGCGTCCAGGATTATGCGGGGGGCCTGCAGTGGGCTAACGGCCCCGAATGCCGTCTCTCCCCAGGCCGGCATGATCATAGACAACGGCGTCAAAACGACCGAGGCCTCTGCCAAGGACAAGCGGCCCTTCCTCTCTGTCATCTCTGCCAGGTGACCCACCGTCGGGAGCACGCCCTCCGTGGGGAGCCCTGACGCAGCCCCTTCCTTCCCTCCACGCAGTCATCAGGCGACCGTTGAGCACTTCCTCTGTCCTGCACACTGAGCTGGTTGCGGGGGCGGGGGGACCATGGTGAAACCTGGGCAGGGCAGAGTCTGAATTAGGGTTTGGGGTTGCAGCAGGAGCCAGTAGCTGGCCCGTGAACAGGACTGGCCAGGGCCGCGGCAGGTGGGGCTGCCGTCAAAAGGTGAAGAGATAAGGCGGGAAGAATCTCATCATCAGTTTATTGGGAAGGGACGTGCAGGTTGTAACTGGAAGTTCATCTGCAGCTCAGCCAAAGGCTGGGGCTGCTTTTGAAAGGCGCTGTCAAAACCTCAAGGTGATTGGGAAAACCGGAGCCCTTCACAGAGACCCAGTGGCTGGGTCTCCGTCTACACCAAGGAACACGAGTGGTGATAATGCCCACAGAGGACTTTTGTTGGACCGGACGTCAGTGAGCGTCTGGGCTCAGTGCTCCGTTTTATAGTTAAGAAGCTGAATCCCAGAAAGGGTTGTAGGTCGGCTTGACCCTCTAGTTGGTGGCGAGCTGGCATGGCACACGGTGCTCCCTCCCTGGCCCTGTGGGCCACGTCGTATGCCAGGTTTGGGCCGGGATGCCTGAGCTTACCTCTGAACTTTGACCTTGCCTGGGGGCGGTGCTCCTCAGTGATGCTGATGACCAAGAGAAGTGACATGTCTGTCACCTGTGTGGGGCTGGGCCCTGTGCTGAGCTCAGAAAAGTTCATTCCTGAGCCCAGGGGTGGGAGTCAGTATTCCAGACACCGTGAGCGGAGAGTAGCTCACAATCCAGAAGGGAGTTAGTTCAGGAGTCCCCCCAACGCCGCCCCCCGTGCCCTCCCCCTGCTGCATTCCAGATACAGCCCTCACCAGGATGCCGACCCCCTGAAGCCCCGGGAGCCGGCCATCATCAAGCACTTCACTGCCTACAAGAACCAGGACCACGGGGCCTGGCTGCGTGGCGGGGACGTGTGGCTGGACAGCTGCCGGTGAGTGGAGACTCGTGGCGCTGGCAGAAAGTGGGGATGGGACTCCCGCCTTGGGCAGGGGGCAGAGCAGGACGAGGGAACGCGGCGGACTGGCGCTTGGCCTTCTGGTTCCCCGGCCAGGCATGGGCAGAGAACGGCAGCAGGCAGTGACCGCAGAGCCCCTAAAAACAGCATACTGGACGAGGACCCAGAGGGACAGGCAGCTCTGTTGGGATTTACAGGAGTCTGCGGGATATCCTCCTGGTCTGCCTCTTGTGTTAGAAATGGGAGATCAGAAACTGCATAGGAAACAAATGTGTTTATCCTTTTTATCGTGACTACTTAAAGAGGGAGCAAAGAGGAGGTGACAGTGTGTAAGGAGAGGAGCAGAGACAGTGCAGCGAGAGACAGAGAGACAGACGCAGAGACAGACGGACGCAGGCAGGAGGTGCGAGGGGGCTGCCGGCTGGGGAGCACTGGGATCGGAGTCCCGAGTTTTGGGAAGAGGGGAAAGCGGGGAGGAGAGCCGACTGGGTTCGGAGGGGAGCGTGGTGTCCGGGTGGCTGTGGGGGGGACGTCACGGCCCGGGCGGCTCCCAGCTCGGCAGGCAGAATAGTGTTCCTGTGACAGCAGAGGATGGCACGAGCTGCTCATCCCTAGAGCAGAGGCCCAGGGGCGCTGGAGGGGCGGCTGTGCAGGGGTGGGCGGAAAACGTGGCGCCAGAGCTCAGACGCTCTGCACTGCTCGAGGTCCAGCGAGCGACTCGGTTCTGATCTGCCGGGAGTGCAGGCCCCCAGAGAGAAGCTGTGAGGCCCCTGCCAGTGGGCGGGCCTTCTCGCCCCCCCGCTGCCCACTCCTTCCAAGGTCGCCCAGGTCTGCGGCACGGACCTTGCAGCCCCCGAGGGGCAGGGTGGGCACAGTCGGGGTGGACAGACGACAGGGATCCTTTCGAGGACTGAGCATTCGGCCTTGTGTCCCTTGCAGAAGGATCACTCTAGCAGCTGCCGGACACAGGCAGAGTGAGGGGGCCCCTCGGGGCGTGGGGAGGACAGCTGAGCTGCTGCTGCAGACGTCCAGGTGGCAGAGACTTGCAGACGACAGAACTGAGCTGAGACGGAACCTTCGGGATGGGGACTGGGCTTAGACGGGGGAGGAGTGTAGTTTCCGACGTGCTCGGAGCTGTTCCATGGAAGAGCAGCTGGGAGAGTGGCCGGTTTTCGAGTCAACAGCAGCCTGGTAGGGATGGAAACTGCGTCTCTGTGAGGTGCCCAGGGACTTGGTGGAGAATGAGAGGACCTCGGACAGGGCCCTGGGGGACAGCACGATAGGGAGAAGCACGAAGGGACCGGGAAACAAGAATCAGGAAGTTAGGGGCAGGACCTGGAGCGCGCAGTGCCCGGAAGATGGGCCTTGAGCCATGGGTTAGAACTGGAGGGGCTCAGACAGGGACAGTGTCCGGGGTGAGTGGCCCTGGAACAAGAGCGCGCTCAGGCCACGAAGACCAGCTTGGCGCGGCTGACGCAGAAGACAGGTGGCTTCACCTGGACGTGAGGCACAGGGCCGGGGATCGGGGCTCAGGTCTGTGGGTCGTGTGGGGTCACCAGAGTTGAGGAAGCAGGGAGTGGCTGGCGTTTATGGCACTTTGAGAAGATGTGTAGGACAGATGGAAGTGCACCAGCTATCCGCCCCCGGGAAAAGGAGATGCAGGCGGCCGCCATCCTTGGCCCTCAGGTCTGTGGCAGTGCAGACCCAAGGCTCAGCCTCAACTGCGGGCTGCCCTGTCACGGCCAGACCCCGCGGGAATCGGAGGGGAGCTGCCGGGCTCAGCGTTCCACCTGCTCCTCTCAGGCCGGCGTCAGCCTGGCTTCTGCGAAACTGGGAACTCAGCTGTCGATTTGTCCTTGTTGCTATGGCTGGGACAGGGGTGAGGGTGGCCAAGGGGGAACTGACCTGCATATACGTACCCACCTCTAGCTGGTGCTGGCCCTGAGCATGGCGAGGTCCTCCCGTCCCCTGGTCCCGCCTCCCACAGAGCCCTGGAGTCACGGGCGAAGCCGCTGGGAGCGAGGCTGGGGAGCCTGCCGCACGCTGCGATGCGATGTGGCACCAGGCACCGAGAGTCTGTGGCCGCCCTCGTGTCTTTCAGTCGGACACTGAGTGGAGGGGCCACCCAGACGTCTCCTTGTTATACAGAGCGGGAGGGCCACAGCTTCCGCAGCGAATCCTGTGTTCGGGGAAAGGCTTCTCTGTGCAGGATCCGGTGTGACACCAGGACAGCGCTGGCTGTGTAGTGAGAGCATGCTCTGACTGTCCACTCTTGTCCCCAGGTTTGCTGACAATGGCATCGGCCTGACCCTGGCCAGGTAAGAGCAGCTATCGTTCATGCTGGGCCCCTGTGGGAAGCTGTCTCTGGAACCCTCACCCCAGACATCTTCTCCCCACAGTGGTGGAACCTTCCCATATGACGACGGCTCCAAGCAGGAAATAAAGAACAGCCTGTTTGTTGGGGAGAGCAGGAACGTGGGGACAGAGATGATGGACAACAGGATCTGGGGCCCGGGCGGCTTGGACCACAGCGGAAGGACCCTCCCCATAGGCCAGTAGGTTTGCACCACAGCGGCTTCCTTGTGCCACATGGCAGCATGGGAACGAAAGATGGCAGTTTGTGATTTCCACCTGTCGACTGAATTCCTCTGTCCGTTAGCGGTCAGAAGTCACCGAAACAGTAGAGATTAACCCACAGGGGCCAAAGTCTAAGATTTGCGAGGGAAATCGAGCCACCGTGTTGCATGTGAGTCAGCGGGGCGACGTGGCTGTATCAGAATGCGCTCTGTGGTTCTGGGCCACGGTGACGGGAGCTAGCGTCAGGGCCAGCCACCATGGCTTCCTTCGTCCGCTGAGACCTCTCCCACTTGGAGCATCTCATCTTCTGAGGGTGGTGGAGAGTCAGGCCGAAGCACACTTAAGGGAGAACCAGGAGGGCGACAACCCACAGGCGTGTCGCATGCAGATTGGGGTCTCCAACCAAGAGGTGGCTCGTGCTTGGGAGCGGCGTGTGAGATGTGGTCACACGTTCTCAGGGCTGCCCTGAGCGTACGAGATGACGCTGGTTCGAAGTGGGTCTTTCTGACCTAAGGGCTAGAATTGCTTTAGTGCGGGAAAGACTTTCCCGGCAGTCAGATTTGCTCAGCAGCAGAACGGCAGGGCTGTCCTGAAGAGCCACGGCTCTGTGTAGCTGGGGGCGTTCACACAAAGTGGGGTGATCAGCGTGCAGCTGGAGAGGAAGGGGCTCGGAGAGATGAGCTGACAGCATGGACTCGGTCCGTTCCTCGGAAGGCCGCAGGCTGGGCCGGCGAGGACATCGCTGCGCTCTGGTGGTGTGCCCGCTCAGAGGCCAAGTCAGGCCGGAGAGGGGCTCCGAGGCGGCCAGCGGCCCGGGGCCCTGGCGTCCTGCCCTTCCTGTTCCCCAGCTTTCTCCCCTTTCTCTTGGAGAATGTCCTTCCTGCCTCAGTAGGCAGGACACAGGTCTGAGCTCCCACCCCGAGTGGATGCGTGTGCTTGAAAAGATGGTGCAGATGGAAGCACAGTCCCCTTGGCACGAGTTGTCAAGAGTCCTCGTTTCTGTCCACCCCAATGAGGTAGCGGCCCCTCAGACCGTTTTTATGAGCAGCTCTGGGTCTGTGTTGTTGGGGTCTCTTTACTGAGAGTTACCAGCCTCCCAGGCCCAGAACATTATGGCGACTGTGATCGTCTTGGTGATCGTTTTGGTGGCCTGATCCGAGGCTACGGTGTTAATCAGTGACGTGACAGCACAGAAGTGCGCAGGCCCGTGGTGTCCACTGAGGGCTCGTTGCCGGGACCGCGTGGCTGGGGCTCCCTCAGAACCGACTCTGCTTGAGGGGCCCAGCGTGAGGCCTCTCCCTGGAGACAGGTCCCTTTGCTGCGTTCTGCCCTCTCTCCTTCCTTACGTTCCTGTGGAAGGAGAGGGCCCTGGCCCAGAGGTGGAAATTCCAGTCACAGCAGAGAAACTGGGCCTGGAGGGTGGGCAAGCCTGGATTTGGGGCCAGGCCGGAGGAGGCCACGGGAAGTCCAGCGGGCCCCTGTGGGCCTTGCTTCCCAAGCCCCGCTTGGGAGTCAGGCAGATGGGGGCTTTGAGCACCCTGCCCCCTGCTGGGCCCACGGCAGAACTGCCAGCCACCGGCCCCACTCCACTCCCTCCTCCCTGCATCAGCAAGCCCGCTGCCTCCTGCCAAGTCCTCTCCGTGCCTCCTGGGGGTCAGGGCCTCTGGAGGTCCTCTGGCAGCCCACTGCCCTGCCTTGTTCCCCAGATCCAGTATGCTCCCAGCTGAAAGGTTTACTTGCAGAGAGGAAACTCATCTGCGTCTTGGTCTGATTAAACTGTTACAGCTACTAAGCCGATAATGACTAATGGCTCTCCCCTCCCAGGGGACACAGTGTTGGCTCCCTCCAGCACTGCTTACGGTATTTACCCAGTGACTCCTCATAGGATGGAGAATTTGGAGGGACTGATGGAAGAACTGGTTCAAATAGAGGAACATCCCCCAAACCCCAGGCCAGCAACTAGACAGATACTCATGGATGCACCCTCCGTCCTCCTGTCACTCGTCCACCCTTCCACGCAGTCACCCACCAATCATTTATCGGCGTTTCCCATGTCCACGAGTGGTTTCTGCGTGAATTCATTAATGAGTCAACGACGTTCGCCGGAGGGGGTCGTTGCTGGGGGTGGGGCCGAGGGGTGTTTATCCAGAAAATCTCTGCTGCCACCCACCTTGGAGGGTGCGGCCCCACGGCGGCACAACATGGCGGTCACCCTGACCTCTGCCTTCTTTGACCCCCTAGGGATTTTCCGATCCGCGGGATTCAGTTCTACGATGGGCCCATCAACGTTCAGAACTGCACTTTCCGGAAGTTCGTGGCCCTGGAGGGCCGGCACACCAGCGCCCTGGCCTTCCGCCTGAACAACGCCTGGCAGAGCTGCCCCCATAACAACGTTACCAGCATCACTTTTGAGGACGTCCCGGTGAGTGAGGCCAGGGCAGGCTCCCGGCAAACTCAGACTTTGGGCAGTGAGTCACAGGGCCCCGGGGGCTGGAGCTTGGCCCGTTGCCACAACCACAGGGGTTGAACGGCCTTCTCCGAGCGGGCTGGGCCACGTCCCAGCCCTGTCTGCATCCGAGCTGGAAAAATACGAGCGGGGTCGCCCCGCAGTTCAGTCTGGGTGGGTGCCTGCGGCCCTCGCCCTGCTTGGAGCCTGCCGGGCCTCAGCAGGAGCCTCAGCGGGACCCAGGGTTCTGAGGCTCTTCCTCCAAGTCTCTTGCTTTTGACCTACGAGTCTTGTGCCCCGACCACCTGGGTTGGCATTGTTAACTTAAGAACCCTACAGTTTCTAAGAGAATCTGCTCAAGATACTCTGTTCAACCTCTCCATGAGAGTGTAACATAGACAGGGGCCTCCTGGCCATAGACAGTGACAAGTCAGGAGCTGGAGTCGTGACGAGATCAGGACAACGGGCTGCCCTTGGGGACTAGGCAGGTCCAGGCCTCCTGGAGCATTTTCTTTGGGTTCGAGCTCTCTGAGACCTTCCCCGCTCCTCCCCTCTGCCCTTTGCCTGCCTACCCGGTTACAGCAGGCCGAGGGAGACGATGTGGACCTTGTTACCTAATTTCCTTACTCAGGCCACCGAGGGCCCGAAAGAGCCAGTCATGGAAGCCCTCGGGGCTCACGGGGAAAGCCTGTCTTCCTGAAGCACACCCTCTCACATGCGCTCTCACACACGCCCCCTCCCCACGTGTGCGTGTGTACCTCTCACGTTCACCAGCACCTCAGCTCATTCCCTCTCTCTCACATGCACACACGCACACTTCTGTGTCCCCTCACCCATCTCTGCGGTCCTCTGCGCCCGAGGACAGAGTACTCTCCAGGTCACCCAGAGCAGCCAAACCTCCCATGAGCGGAGGCCAAAATAACGTGCTGAGTGTGGGAGCTGGGGCACGGCCAACGTCCGGCTGTTTTTCTGGCCCTGTCTGAGAGGCCAGCCGCGCCACTGCCCCCGGTGCCCGAGCGTACCCTTGGTTTGGCGGGTGTGTAACGTCAGTGGAAACCGGAAGTTGCCCTGGCCTGGCGGCTGCAGTTCCCCTGCCCTCCTGCCGGCTGACCGTCCTGGGCTCTGTTTAGATTACTTCCAGAGTGTTCTTTGGGGAGCCCGGGCCCTGGTTCAACCAGCTGGACATGGATGGGGACAAGACGTCGGTGTTCCACGACGTGGACGGCTCCGTGTCCGAGTACCCCGGCTCCTACCTCACCAAGGCTGACAACTGGCTGGTCCGGCACCCGGACTGCATCGACGTTCCAGACTGGAGAGGCGCCATCTGCAGCGGGCGCTACGCACAGGTGGGGACGCCAGGGCACACCTTCCTGGGTGTTGCTGGTCACTCACTCATGTGACAAGCGCTGAGCGCCTACTGCGTGCCTGGCTCTGGGCCAGGCCAGAGAGAGATGGGCTTCTCTTCTTTCCCTCCTTTTACTTTCCCTCCTCACCCAGTGGGATTTTTAAAAAGTTACGGTGGCAACACTTTGTAAGCGGAAAGCTTCCAGAAATGGTGCTCAGAGGTCCAGCGTGAGGATTCAGGTCAGGCTCCCGCACTTACTGATGGTGTGACCGTGGGTAGGTGACTCAGTCTGGAGCTTCAGTTTTCTTATCTGTAAGACCGGGGTGATAGCTGAACCTTCCTAGTGAGATGGGGGGGCGGCTTCATGTAAGGGACAGCCTCCTCCACCAGAAATATAATGCAGGCCACACACATTCTCTTAAATTTTCTCTTAGCCACATAAAAAGGAAAAACAGGTGAAATTAATCTTGACGATAGATTTTATTTTACCCAGTATACTCAAAATATTGCCATCTCAACATATAATCAACATAGAAAATTATCGGGACACTTTGCAGTCACAGTTTTTCCTGTTCTCTGCATATTTTATACTTAACATTTTCAACAAAGTAAAAGCTAGTCCCATCAAAACAAAGTCGTGTGAACTATTTTACGCACCTTTTTTTTGAAATCTAAATTTCGATTAAAATGAATTTAAAATCCATGTCCTCAGCCACACCGGGCCCATGCCCAGCGCTCTGCAGCCACAGGAGGGCAGTGGCCATCGTGTGGGACAGTGCCGGCTTAGCGCCTGAAACGTGGCGGAACCGAAAGCGCCAGCTCTTGTCGCATTGCTGTTACTGTCCGGGGACGGGAGAGGACGATGACGTTGTCCTCACAGCCCCCCCAGAGGGCAGGCCCCGGTGTCGGCACGCGGACGCCAGTAGCCGACTGTGAGAGAAGAGCTGGAAGGCAGTGTGAGGAGAGATGGGAGAGGCAGCTGGTGTCAGGCTGAGGGCAAGGGCCAGGGGCCCCCGGCGGCAGGAGCGTACGGGGGGC